CAGAAATTAGAAAAACAAATCATATTCAAAATCAATGTGTAGAGCTGATTTTTCCCCTCTGTGAACTTTACTAATGAATATTTTATACTATGCAACAATATCCAAGCTGGCATTTTAAACCAAGACTGGAATTTACTGGTCATATATAGATATAGATATAGATATGAACCACATATATATGAATATATATGTGTATATAGATATAGATATAGTTTCAGAAACCTTGCATCTATTTGTGAGATATGTTTCTTTACATATTTTCCATCCTGGTCAGTCAATTTTTTTTTACTTTTTTTAATTTTATTTTGTCGGTCATAAGACTTAAACTCTAGGCCTGGGCACTGTCCCTCAGCTCTTCAGCTTAAGACTAGTGCTCTTCCACTTTAGCCACGGTGCCACTTCTGGCCTTTTCTGTTTATGTGGTGCTGAGGAATCCAACCCAGAGCCTCATGCATGAGGGGCAAACACTCTACCACTTAGCCACCTTCCCAGACACTAGTCAAATTATTTTTAGATATAATGTTGTCGTTAGCTTTTGAGATATTCTTTCCCAGCATCCTCCATAACTGAATTTGGTTTTTCTCAAGAGCTCAACAGATTAAAAGTTTATTTCCCCTTACTTGTTCTAATATATCTAAATACCTTTGAAGTATTTACAAATATAATGGTTAATATTTATAGAATAAATGGTTGCACATTTAATTAACCTTATATAACCTTTTTAAAAATATGATATTCAATACAGCCACTCAATTTAATGGAAAATTTCATCATTTAATTATAATTAAATTTAAATAAAATTATTTCTATGAAATAAAAAAATTACAAATCAAGTTTCATGAATTAATTACATAATTCTGTTGAAATCTAATTTTACTACAATACAAAATAGAGCTAGTATAAGCTGGATGCCAGTGGCTCATGCCTCTAATCCTAGCTACTGAAGAGGCTGAGATCTGAGGATCACCGTTCAAAGCCAGCCCGGGCAGAAAAAGCCGTGAGACTCTTTTCTCCAATTAACCACTAGAAAACCAGAAGTGATGCTGTGGCTCAAGCAGTCTAGCTCGCCTTGAGCTGAAGAGCACAGGGACAGCGCCCAAGCCCAGAGTTCCAGCCCCACGACAAAACAACAACAACAACAAAATAGAGCTAGTATAGTTTTAGATAAAATAGCTGAAAGGAATTTACTTATAATGATTTAACTGTAATTATATTATTTAGTACTATATAGCCTTAGAATAAGAATATATTTAATTTTTGATAAGACCAATATATACACTGCTTTAAATATACATACAAGACTCATTATAGAGCTTCCATTTAGTATGTAAGGGGCCCTGGAAAAGTCTAATTTCAAACATTACCCTCGAAGCAAGGGGGTGGAGGGTGGGGATGATGTGTATCATGAAGGTCCCATGACTTTTACCTGGAGGCAATTTCTAGTTTACAAAAATTGCCAGCACTTTCAGTACAAGACATTCAGTGAAGACTAAACAGAGGTCCAGATATTAATTAAGTAGTTACTTAAAATCGGCTATCTATAGAGTGAGTCTACTCTGAATCTGTTTTAAGAAATCTAAAAAACTGATACTGAAGAAATGAAAATGATCTACAATGGTAAAATTCCATCTCCCAGGAAACACAACCAAACTTTTAATTAATGGAAGATTTGGAATATGAATTTCTAATCCAAAAAGCACATCTATTCATAGTCTCAATCCTACATATCTATTTTTTGAAAAATCACTTGACAAAGCCTGTTTTGCTCCTCATATCACTTAATCCTCTGTGAAAGGGTGACCAGCTGTTACCAAGTATTCTCAAAGCCAAAACAATAGCCTCTGTTCATCACAGTGTTCTTTAGTCCCACTTGCAAGTTATCATGTAGTATAAAAAAAAAACAGGTCTGTTCTTGTTCTATGCCAGTACCAAGCTGTTTTGATTACTATGGATTGTAGTAGAGTTTGAAATTTGGTATTGATATTCTTCCAGCAATTCGGGGTCTTTATTGTCCCATATGAATTTTGAGTTGCTTCTTCTATTTCATTAAAGAATGAGGTTGGGAGATTGATAGGTATCTCATTGAATTTGTAGATAGCCTTTGGCAGTACTGCCAATTTCACAATGTTAATCTTCCCAATCCAGGAGCATGGGAGGATTTTCTACTTCCTTGGTTCTTCTTTAATTTCCTTTTGCAGGTTTTTAAAGTTTTCATCATAGAGGTCCTTCACTTCTTTAGTTAAATTAACGCATAGGTATTTTAATTTTTGTGGGACTATTACAAAAGAATTTGCTTTCCTGATTTCAGCCATGCTCTTCTCATTGTTGGCATACAGAAAAGCCATTGATTATTGAAGGTTAGTTTTATACCTTGCTTCTTTGCCAAAGTTTCCAATCAACTTGAGTAACTTGGGATTGGAGTCCATGGAGTTCTTTAAATACAAGATCATGTTATCTGCAAAGAGGGAGAGTTTACTTCATCTTTCCCTATTTGGATCCCGTTTATGTTTGCATCTTGTTTATTGCTATAACTAAGAATTTTAATACTAAATTGAAGAAAAGCAGAGAGAGTGGTCATCCTTGTTTCATTCCTGAATTTAGAGAAACTGGCTTTAGCTTTTCACCATTAAGTATAATGCGGGCTAGAGGTTTGTCATACACTGTGTTTATTATATTGAGGAATGTAGAACTGAAGACCTAGAAATGAACCCACAGACTTATAGCCACCTAAAAAAATAGAATGGAAGAAAAACAGACTCTTTAGTAAATGGTGCTAGCAAAATTGGTAAAACACCTGGAGAAAACTAAAGCTAGATCCATATATATCACCCTGCACCAAATAGTTCAAAGACCTTGAAGTCCAAGCAGAAACCCTGAAAACATTACAGGAAGGAATAGGAAAAAACTCTAGAGCTCCTTGGCACAGGCCAGATTTTCTTAATAAAGACCCAGAAACACAACAAATCAAAGAAAGGTTGGACAAATGGTACTTCATAAAACTGCAGAGCTTCTGCATGGCAAAAGATATAGCTAGCAAGATCAATAGAAAGCCCACAGATTGGAAGAAGAACTTCACTAGCCATACAACGGACAAGGGTCTTATATCTAAAATATACTTAGAACTCAAAAAGTTAAATCCCCCAACAACAAATCCTCATGGAAACAACTGCCCTATTAACAAGTGGGCTAAAGACTTAAAGAGAGACTTCTCTGAAGAGGAAATAATGGCCAAAGAGACACATGAAGAAATGCTCAACTTCTCTGGCTATGAAAGAAATGCAAATCAAAACCACATTGAGAGTCCACCTCATCCCAGTTAGAATGGCTACAATCAAGAAATCTAATAACAACATATGCTTGAGGGGATGTGGCCAAAAGGGAACCCTATTGCATTGTTAGTGGGAGTGTATACTTGTTTAACCACTCTGGAAAGCAGTACGGAGGTTCCTCAAAAGACTACACATAGAGCTGCTCTGTGACCCAGCAATCCCACTTTTGGGCATTTACCCAAACGATCACAAAGAAGGCCATACTAAAGCTAGCAGCACAACTATGTTTATCGCAGCATTATTCACCAGAGCTAAGATATGGAACCAAACCAGATGCCCCTCAGAAGATGAATGGCTCAAGGAAATATGATGTGTGTGTGTGTGTGTGTGTGTGTGTGTGTGTGTGTGTGTGTGTGTGTGTGTGTGTGTGTGTGTGTGTGTGTGTGTAGTGAAATTGTATGCCTCCACCAGAAGGAATGACACTTCCTCATTTGTTAGGAAATGGAAAGACTTGGGGAAAAAAATCATATTAAGTGAAGTAAGTTAAGCCCAAAGAAACATAGGTCCATGGTTTCCTTTATTTTCAATAACTATTATATGTCTAGAACAAGTAGAAGAGGTCAAAAGCTATGTACGCTTGACCATATAAGATGATGTTAAGCAAAATGAAACCAAAGATAGGGACAAAGAGGTTTTATCTTTCTTGCTGTTGTTTCAAATGCATTTATAATATACTACGTGATTTTTTTTTATTCTTTTGTATGTTCTTCCCCCATGGTGTATCCTGTTTTCACTGTATTTGATTCTAGTGCCCTGCATCTTGCTTAAACATTTTTCTACTTGGGTGGGGGAAGGAGGGAAATAACCAAAGGCTGAAGTAAGGATACAGGATGACCCATTGTAACAATGAGATGTACAACACACTAAGTTGAAAACGAACTTTGTAACTTTGAGGCAGGGGAGGTGTTGGAAAGGTAGGGAGGGAGGGGATGGTAGGGGAAAAACAAAGGAGAAGGTAACAGTGCTCTATAGGAAATGTATTTATTACCTTACTCATGTAACTATAACCCCTCAGTACAGTATCTTTACAATAAAAAATATATATTAAAAAAAGGAAACACAGTCACTCATGTAATAATGCTGATAACACTTCCCTTTATTTCATTTTTCTATGACTCTACTAGCTGTATTTTCTGGCCGGTATTTTCTGCTTAAAAGTCATCCCAAATGTTCTGGTTATGCCTACCTTGTCTTCAGGCTCAGACTCAACTTCAGTTCAACATACCGTTTAAAGCCAGGTTGATCTGGGTTCAAATTCATATTAAGCCACTTATAATCTTGGGCACAAGTTTGTCAGCTCTTTCAAGCTTCAGTGCCACATCACAAAAAGAAAAGAAATGTAGTTACAAATGTACCAAGTTTTGTAAGACCATTAAAGACAAGTATATCATTTAACTCAGTATCGGGCACATGGAATGTGTCAGCATATGACAACAAAATTTCCTCCTAACTTAGAATTTACTCCAGTGAATTTTTTAACTGCTGTAAAACTTTTAATATCCTTAGTACAACATCCTATTTTGTTTCAGGATTGCTTTTCACAGTTCTAATGCCACATAATGTCTACTTCTAAGCAAATTAACCTTCAGATAGAACTGGAAAGAATGTTCAACCTCTTAAAAGCTAGTTATTCAGTGGAATGCTATTTCTAGCCTCATTTAGGAAGAAAGACTTAAGCACAATGTGAAAGCTACACTTTTGTGGCTTCCAGCAAGGTCTCACAGTTGTCAATCATGGTCTGGTACATCAGCAGGATGGGTCTCCAGATACATTCCACAAGGCGAATCTTTTAATATTTTATCAGCGGTTGCTGATAGGAGGCACTTGAGCTTAGTGAGTGTTTTTATGACTTCCTTTAAGCTGGTCTTGAGAAGCTTTTATCTCTGCTTATTGATTGCTCTCCTTTGAAATTTTCATTTAACTTTGGTAAACAGAGATATGATTAAAATTTTTGGCCAAATTTTTTCAGCAGCCAATCATTTTAAACAAGCTTTCATAGATGTAATGCAGTTGTCTTCTGGCAGAACTTTTTGTATGTATTTTGTACCTTGCTTTGTTACATTGCTTCTCTGCAGACTGGCACTCAGGTGAGGAAAGAGACTGGAATTCCCACCAAAGAAAAACTCCACATAACTCTTGGAAAGTTCACTTTTAGGCTGTTTTCTGCAGAGCAATACACAAAGGGCCCGTGTGCCAAGTATCAATCATAAATCTCTAAAAGAAAGAAAATAGCAGTTACAAATATATAGAGAGAATATTTATGCTCAAAATGACTGACTGTGGCTTGGTTTGAAATCCCAAATAACATCCAATTGTCACAAGAGAAATTTGCTAAGTAGGTGGAAAAATTATTCAAAAGCCATTTTTAGCTTACTCACAGCAAGAAACGCTGATTTCAATGTTTCCCCTATTAGCAGCCGTGAAAGGAGCAAGGAAAAAAAGCAAAGCTAACAAAAGTTCATTAGATTCAATAAACTTCCAATTTCTTATAAAGATGTCATTGCTGAGGCTACAATGACAGAGTTTTGAAATGAGTTATAGAATATGCAGTGTAAGCTCTCTGAGCTATATCCATCTCCTACTGACTAGCTGATCCCCTTGCTTAGATTAGGAGGCAGTGGGGCTGAAGGAACTGCTTTGTGATTTGTTATTATTGTTTGTTTGCTTCAGATAATTCTGTCAGTACACAAAACTGGAAAACTTTCAACTACTTCAAGGATGGCTGCTCGGAAAACTTAGAAAAAAAGGAGCAGAATAGGTGATAAAGGTCAGTTTGGCTATAAACTTTTGAAAAACAAAAACCCCTACTAAATTGATTTTTATCATACCTACGCTCATGGTGAAAGTGTTAATGTCTCAAAGCCAAAGTGATGGTAGAAGACTATAGGAAAAGAGACAAGAGAGGCTATGACTTGTTTCATACTCCAACTGAATCAATGGAGACAAAAGAGAAAAAAAGGGAATAGAAGGGAAGGAAAGGGAAGGGAAGTAAGAATTTAGAAGGGAAGGTCAAGATGGATGTGAAGGAAAGGGAATGACAGAGCAAAGAGAGAGAGAGGGAGGGAGGAAAAGAGGGAGAGAGCTCCAACTGGTAACTTTTCTAATCCAGCTAACTGATCTAAGAAAATAAATGAATAGATAGATCAAAATTTTAATAAAGAAAGACCTTTACACAGTCACAATGAATCTTACCATAATATTATTATTCATCATGAAAGTAGAATTAGTAATTTCATCATGACTTCTGACAGAGATAATTTTAATACAAGAAGCTAACATTATGAAAAATGAAACAAATCAAAATTACATTGCTTCTGACAGTAACTAAACCTTACCTAGAATCTCTTTTTCTAAATGTTCATAAGTAGAGTCTAATTAATAGAAAACATTGACCTAGCCTAAGTTCAAGATCAGATTGTAAAATTATAGGCCTACAGTCTTCAAAATGTCATAGATCTGAACATCAAAGAACTACTTAGAACTTTGCAGACAATGACCAAATATGACATAATGAATTTTATACACTGCAAAATGTTATAATTCCCTAAAATCTTAGTCACTTATTAGTTCCTTTTAATATAGTACTCATATTGTCACATTTATAAGTAGAAGTTTAAGTTGGTAGGCTGTTTTTTACTAAAAAATTATATGACCACAATAAGTCAATGATCACTGATAAAATTAAAAACTGTTAAAGAAATACAGTATTTGTTGTTTTCTTGTTATATATTGTATAGAAAGAACATTCTAAGTACTCTTTACTATTATTAATAAAAATTCAGATGCTGCCAGGCACTGGTGGCTCACGCCTGTAATCTTTGACAATCCTTGCTACTCAGGAGGCTGAAATCAGGATTGTGGCTCAAAGCCAGCCCAGGGCAAGAAAAGTCTGTGAGACTCTTATCTCCAATAAACCACCAGAAAACTGGAAGTGGTACTGTGGCTCAAGTGGCAGAGTGCTCGCCTTGAGTTGAAGAGCTGAGGGACAGCACCCAGGCCCAGAGTCCAAGTCCCATGACTGACAAAAAAAAAAACAAAAAAATTCAGATGCCATGTTCAGATGGCTAAGATGGTGTAAGCTTAAAAAACAAATGTTTAACTCCATTAGTATCTAATCTGCAGTTCTATGGTGACCTTTTAACTTCTGATTGTAGTTCATTTAATTTTGGTTAAAATATCTTCATCAAAACTTATTTAATTTTACTTATGTTTAAAAACTTTTGAATTTTGGTCAACAAGATAGTAACTATTAACTATAGTATTTTGAGTCTATACATTGCCAGATGTTTAACTTATTTCCATAACTTTCAATGTTTTTAAACATAAAGTAAAATTTATAGCCTTCATCAGTTCTGTTACAACATTCTTTTATTCTTTTTTTATTTTATTAGTAAGTTTTTTATTGTGAAAATACTGTACAGAGGGGTTACAATTACATGAGCAAGGTAATGAGTACATTTCTTAGCAAGCATTGTTGCCTCCTCCTTTGTTTCCCCTTCCCATACCTTCGCATCCCCCCAACCCCGTGCTGGTTCTAAAGTTCGTTTTTCGACATAACGTCTTGTACATCTCATTGTTGCAATGGGTCTACCTGTATTACTATTTAAACAATTTGTTTTTCCCCTTCTCCTCCCCAAATTATACCAACATCAAATACAGTGAAACAGGGGTTATATCGTGGGGGAGGGTCATACAAAGCAACAAAGAAATCATCTTGCAAATATGTCAGAAACAATAGCAAATGGAAAGACTTGGAAAAAATATATTAAGTGAAGTTACAACATTCTTAACTAACAAGTGAGAACTGATTTTCAAAATGATAAATGATCTGAGAGCATGACCAATTATTTGTCAGCACACAAGATAAGCTGCTAGAATTCAATATCTTCACCTGGGCTCTACTGGATCATATATAACTTCTTTGGGTTATTTTATAGATCACCTAAAAGCATTTTAGCCCACTAGTTCAAGCAACCTATATGTCAAGCAGAAAAAATAAAATCACCAGACTCAGGTTTGTGGCTCCCCAGAGAAAGAAAACAGTTTGATCCAATTTGTCAAAAGCTGGAGTGGTACTTTAATGGGCAATTTACTTTAAATGGCTGCAGTTATTGCAGGAAAAAAGGCCTAAAGCTTAAGATATTAAAAAAAAAATCTTTCCAATTGGTTTTATTCAGATAAATTTAATTCCTGAGTATGAACTAAGGATGTCAAACCTCTTATACTCCCTGATGATCTAAAACCAATAGTAAAACTTTGTTGGTTTCTTGTTTTGATTTTCTTTATTTTAACTCTGGTAATTTAAAACACCTATATTAGTCCATTTTCCATTGCTATTTCTGTGGTAATCAACTTAAAAGGATTAAATATTTTTGTTTTGTTTTTGTTTTGTTCTCTGTTTGTTAATTTTGGAGGTTTCAGTCCATGGCAAAATGGCCCCATTGCTTTAGATTGTGGTAATAGGCCCATCCTTGTGGAAGTGAGCCAGAGCAAAACATCTGGCCAGGAAGCAAGAGAGCCAGAGGATGGGACACATTCCTATAGTCCTCTTCAAGAGCATTTCACCAATCTCCTATAGACTTCACAATAGCCATTCAACCCCTTCAAGATCCTGGTGACTTTACATGGTGACCAAGACTTCAGCCCATGAGCCTTCCAGGAACAGTGATAAGCACAAGTGTTTACAATCTCAGTGGCTGCTCATTCACTGATGCTTGTAAGGATGTGTCTTCATGAGTTAATGTTATGTCTTATGACTATGGGATAAATTCTTTGCTAAGAAAATGTCTGTATACTTTCTTAGCTACATGTAAGATAATAATGAAATATTAATATCAGGCAAAATTTTATATTTATCACCCACACATGTCCTACATAACTATACAAAAGAACATCCATTTCAACTTTCAATTTTTTCTGTATATGCCTGTGGAGGAATGAACACCTAGGAAGCCTGCACTTGAAATAAAACCTTCCTCTTCACTGAATGACATTCTAGTTTGGAATAAACTTTTACTGACACATACAATAAAGATGAAATTCTATTCTAGCAAATGAAATTAAAGGACACTAGGACAGGTAAGGTTATGAGGAAAAGATTATACATCATCTTGATTGTTACTACAGTTTCTCTAGTTCATCCATAAGTCAACTTCTTAAAATGCAAGCTAAATGTGGACAATATTTTGTACATTATAGTATTTTTTATAAGTAAATTTGTTATATTAAACCCCAAAACAATCTTAATTAAATCTTTATATTGTTTAAATATCAAACATGATTATTCATCGTTTGATTTATAAGGCAAACTCTTGCTGTGTAGCTCAGACTAACTTTGAACGTGCAACCTTCTTGCCTTAGTCTCTTGGTTGCTAGGATTGTAGGCAAAACAAATGTTTATATTTTGATTGTAAATTATTCATTTTAATAGTATATATATTTTTATATATTTTGTCAAGAGTTTTATATGAAATATTAAGCTTGCACAGAAATTTTAAATTCCAAGGCACAAACTTTACAAATATCTATGTAAATAAGTATGTCTTTGAGAATCTAGTGTGTTGGTTTTAAGGCTTTTTTTCATTTCTGTTGTTATGTAATTTTCTCTGGAGTGTCAACCTTAGAAGCACAATGAGGCAACCTCCACACTTTATGTGAGAAACTTCTCTTTGAACATTTCTTTTTTTCTTACATGAAAACAAAATAAAACAGGTGCATATTAGTTTTAAGCCTGAAAGTCTGGAGTATTTGTTTATTAAAAAAAACATATTTGACCTATGTTTCTTTGGGTCTGGCTTACTTAATATAATTTTTTCCAAGTCTTTCATTTCCTAAAAAATGTGCCAGTGTCATTCTTTCTGATGGTGGCATAGAATTTATATATATATATATGTAGTAGATTGGTGGCATAGAATTCATATATATATATATATATATATGAATATATATGTGGTAGATATAGATGTAGATACCGCATTTTCTGATCCATTCATCTTCTGAGGAGCATCTGGGTTAGTTCCATATCTTAGCTATGGTGAATAATGCTGCAATAAACATAGTTGTGCTGGTAGCTTTAGTATGGCCTTGTTTGTGATAGTTTGGGTAAATGCCCAGAAGTGGGATCACTGGGTCATAGGGAGGAGCTCCTTTCCAGAGTGGTTGAACAAGTTTACACTCCCTTATTTTCAATAACTAGTATACATCTAGGATAATAT